AAAAAAACCACTGATTTTAGAGAGGGAGTAAGGGAGAGAAAGAGAAAGATTGATATGAGAGAGATACATCAATTGGTTGCCTCCTGTATATGCCCCGATGGGGGATCGAACCTGCAACCTCCTGGTGCACAGGATGACGCCCAACCAACAGAGCCACACTGGCCAGGGAAACCCTTCAACATTCCTTATAATACTGGTTTGGTCATGATGAACTCCTTTAGTCTTTTCTTGTCTGGAAGCTCCTCACCTGTCCTTTGATCTTAAATGATAGATTTGCTGGGTACAGTAATCTTGGCTGTAGGTCCCTACTTTTCACCACTTTGAATATTTCATGCCAATCCCTTCTGGCCTGCAAAGTTTCTGTTGAGAAATCAGCTGACAGTCTTATGGGGGCTCCCTTGTAGGTAACTAATTCCTTTTCTCTTGCTTCTTTTAAGATTCTGTCTATCTCTAACCTTTGGCATTTTAATTATGATATGTCTTGGTGTGGGCCTCTTTGGGTTCCTCTTGTACTTCCTGGACTTGTGTGTCTTTTTCCTTCATCAGGTTAGGGGAGGTGTCAAGTCATTATTTCTTCAATAGGTTCTCAATCCTTTGCTCTCTCTCTTCTCCTTCCAGTATCCCATGATGTGAATGTTGTTATGCTTCATGTTGTCCCAGAAGCCCTTTAAACTACCTCATTTTTTAGAATTCTTTTTCCTTTTAATGGTTCTGATTGGGTGTTTCCTGTTACTTTGTCTTTCAAATTGCTGATTCAATCCTCTGCCTCATCTAATCTGCTGTTGATTCTTTCTAGTGTATTCTTCATTTCAGTTATTGTATTTTTCATTTCTGACTGGTCCTTCTTTATGGTTTCTATATCTTTTTTTATGCTGTTCTCACTAAGTTTCTTGTGCATCCTTTCACTAAGTTCCTTGAGCATCCTTACAACCATTGTTTTGAACTCTGTATCTGGTAGCTTGCTTGCCTCCATTTCGTTTGGTTCTTTTTCTGGAGATTTCTCCTGTTCTTTCATTTGGGACATGTTTCTTTGTCTCCCCATTTTGGCTGTCTCTCTGTGTTTGTTCCTGCGTATTTGGTAGGGCTGCTATGTCTCCCAGTTTTGGTAGAGTGTCCTTATGTAGGAGGTGCCCTGTAAGGTATAGCCACCCCAGTCACCTGAGCCAGGCACTCCAGGTGTGCCCTCCTACCCGCCTTGTGGGCTGTATGCACCTTTCTGTTGTACTTGAGCCCTGATTGCTCTTGGTGCATCAATGGGAGGAATTGACCCCCAGGCCAGTCAACTGCAAGGACTGGCCAAGACCACAGGGCTGGCCCCAAAAAGCAGGACTTGCTGCAAAGGACTTGCTCTGTTGCCCATGAGTCCGTCCCATGAGTGTGTCACTCATGGAGGTGACTGAGTGGTGCTCTGTTGTGGCCTGAAGCTGGCCTCCAGTGTCCTGGCTCTGGGGACTCTCAGGAGGAGCAAGCCAAGGTCAGCCACCACCTGTTTCCTTCCTGGAGTCATTCAGCATTAGCTGCAAAGCTATCTAAAGATGGCTACTTGTGCTGGGCTTGAAGGTGCCCAGAAGAGGCCAAGCTGCAAACCAAGTCTGGCTGCTGCTAGTGCTGGGCCTGGAGCCTCTTAGCAAGTGGTACAGGGCATGCCAAGGCAGATGCTGCTTGTCTGGGGTTTGTGAACCTTTGAGAGATTTTAGGAAAGTTGGCAGCATGAGCCAAGACAGGCTGTTTGTATGGAAAAGCCACTGGAAGCAGCTTGGGTGGGCCTGCAAGTTGGGTAGGGCAGGGTCTAAGGAAATCACCAGGATAGCAAACAGTATTAGCCTGGAGACTCAGATATGACGCCTGCCTGTGCCTGCAGGGGAAGGGCTCAGCAAAGGAAAAACAGCTTCTGCCAGCACTTCTCTCTGAAAGCTGCCCTACCACCCCTTACCCTAAAGCCACACAATTCAGTTTCTCCCATATATATGTCCCTGTCACCTTTCAAGCTGCCACTCTAGCACTGGAGCTCAGAGCAAGTGTGTCCAACTATGTCCATCCCAGTCCTTTAAGAGGAACTCCTGGGGCTCCAGCAGCCTTCCTTCTCACTCAGCCACAATCTCTGCTGGTTTTCAGAGCCAGAACTTATGGGACTTCACTTTCTGGCACTGGAACTCTGCACTGGGGGGTCTGGTGTGGGGCTGGTACTTCTCGCTTTTCAGGAGAGACCTCTGAAGCCCAGATATCCCTTCTGATTTTTAACTGCCACATGAGTGTGGGACCAGCCCAATCTCAGTTGCTGTTCTTCTTACCAGTCTTGATGTGGCTTCTTCTATAGATCCTTAATTATAGAACTTCTCTATTCAGATAGACTTCAGGTGTTTCCAATAATGGTTGTTCTGTAGTTTTGCTGTGATTTTGATGCTGTCATGCGAGGATGCCACTACAGTGTTTACATACTCCACCACCTTGATCAGAAGCCATAATGGTATTTTCTAAAATTTCGGTTTCTGATTTTTACTAGTTTTACAATAAGAAATGCATTTGGTCTTTGTCCCCGATTCCTGGCATAGAGATCCTAAAACCTTTAGAACTTCTTGAGTGTAGTAGTGTTTTTTGTTATTCACAAGGAGCTCCTTTGGAGCACACCTTTTTTCTCCTGGTTTTAAAATTTTTTCTCTATCACTGGTTTTGAGTAATTTGATTATGATGCGCTCTGGCATGGATTTCTTTGTGCTTCTTGTGCTTCAGGCACATTGAACTTTTTGGATCTGTGGATTTACAGTTTTTAACATGTTTGGAAAATTGGGGGCTATTATTTCTTTTTTTACAAATATCTTTTTATTGATTTCAGAGAGAAGAAGGAAGAGGGAAAGTTATAATCTAATTTCTGATAACAGAAGACTCTACTTAATGCAAGTATAAAAAATGTTCTTTTATTATTTAGTTTGATTTCTAAACTGATAAACTATTCAATAATTTAAAAATCGAGAAAGCCAATCTTTTTTTTCCTCAGAAAGAAGGTGGAAACTAAGTTTATGACACAATAAAATATTCTATGTTGGTCTAATTATTACAACTTAGCTTTCTAAGGAGAGAGTGCATTAGCCAGAGGATCCAAGAGTCCAATCTTCCTTAATGTTATAGTTCATTATACATTAATAAGTTAGGATCCTGAGGAAGGGTCTATGTGTACTTTGGAAATCCTGAGGTCTGTGTATCTTGGTTGCCCTGGGTGTCTATGTCTGTGTGTGTCTGGGGGAGATTCCTAGTGTGTGTGTGAATCTCAGACTCTGACTAACCCTAAATGAGATTCAGGATCTAGATGAATCTGATAAAAGTCTATAGGCTTCTGCTTTGGCTACAGAAAGAGGAGATATGGTAAGATGGGGAAAAAACACACAAGAGGACAAGATGATATCTATTCCTCTACCCAACCATGGACTATAGAGAGGGAGGATTCAGAAAGAAGCTCAGAGTGCTGATTTCACGAGGGACCCCCAAGACTCAGGGTACAAGCAGTACTTCCGTGAAGCCCAGCCCACAAAATACAGCAGAGCAGAGAAGGGGGTGGCCTCTCCAAAATTCAGTGAAACACTGCATGAGGCCAATGGGGCAGTGAGGGCTGGTCTAATAGGAATTCACAGGTATTTTTTCCCTGTCTTTAAAAAAAAGAAAATAATTTACTGATGTGAAATTCACATAACGTAGCCCAGCCGGGCATGGCTCAGCGGTTGAGCATCGGCCTGGGATCCAGGCAATCAGGGTTCGATTCCCGTCAGGGCACATGCCCAGGTTGCGGGCTCGATCCCCAGTCAGGGGTGTGCAGGAGGCAGCTAGTCAATGACTCTCTCATCATTGATGTTTCTCTCTCTCTCCCCCTCTCCTTTCCTCTCTGAAATCAATAAAGAGATATTTAAAAAAAAAAAAATTCACATAACATAAAGTAAACCATTACAGGGTGAGCAATTCAGTGGCATTTGGTATATTCACAGTGTTGTACAACCACCACCTCTATCAAGTTCCAAGGCATTTTCCTCACCCAACTAGAAACCTTATACCCATGAAGTACTTATTCCTCATTTTCCTTTCTCCCCAAAACACCAGTCTATGCTCTATCTCTATGGATTTAGTTATTCTGCATATTTCATATAAATGGAATCACCCAATATGTGACCTTTTGTGCCTGGCTTCTTCCACACAGCATGATGTTTTAATGGTTCCCACTGACACTGACACCTTTCCACTTTTACTCTGGTGAAAGAATAAGCCTTCCCACAGTGACTACCAGTAGCAGGGGAAGCAAAAAAGGACTCCTCTGAGGAGGAGTCCAGTGCAGCCAATAATGCTACAGGTGCTGGGCACTGCCCTGGACACAGTGTGAAATACCCTTGGAACACCCGGGGAGGCCTAGAGACAATATTGAAAGGAGAAAAAGGGAGGTGAAGTGAAGGTGGCACTGAGGGTTCCAAATAACCAGGCAGAGAAAGAAACAAGCAGATTTAGGACACAGAAGCAGATATAGAGAGGCATATGTAAATACACTAATAACTATTTATATACAGTGACAACAGTCCTCAAGGCTTTAGCTTGAAAAACCAAACCAAAGAAATTACCACTTAAAAATGTATAATAAAAAATGTCTAAAAGTAATCAGTGATGCCTCTGTGCAACAGGAATAAGGGCCAAACTTTTACTTTTTACTGTATGCACTTATTTGTTTTAATTTTTCAAATAAGTATATATAACTTGCGTAACAAAGCATTAAAAGATAAAGTGTTAGTATTCTACAAATTAATCATTAAGTTCTTTAAGAGGTCAGTAAAATCTGTTTTGAGTTTCTCATGTAGCATAACAAAAATGGATATTGAGAAGAAAAAAATCTCAATCTAAGGTGAAGGTCTAACTTAAATCAATCTAATTTATAAATTCACCTAAAACAAAACACCCACTCCACTCATTCACTACCTCTGTTGTTTCATTTCTACTCAAATTGTTCGCAACTTTAGTAATTCACTGACCTTGGAACCACTTTCTTCCGATACTTCTCCCTCATTGGTTTGCATGGGAACAGACTCTGTGCAAAACTCTGCAGAAACACACAAATACTGCCTAAAAGAGGTAGGAAGAGAAAAACACATAAGGAATTCAGTTCAGACATTTGTTTTTTCAAAGATTAGACTGAAATTCTGTTACTGAGACCATAGCTACAGTACAGTAAAGGCTTAAGTGACGTGTGTGTGTTGTGAGTGTCTGTCTGTATATATACGTGCATCTGAGGTGCAGAGGGAATTTTCCGCACCTTAGGAAGGACAGTTAGAAAAGGTTTAAGACACTGGAGTATTGAACAGTTCTAGATAATTTTCCTCTTTTTATTTGATTTTTGGCAGAGGTGATAGAGAAAGTCTTCAGTAACTCATATAGTACAAATACTGACCTGTCAGAAAGGACGCCCACCTAAGTAAAGCCATGAACTAATCATTATGCGGTAGCCAGTCGTACTGCCTGGATATTACGCTAGGCTACTGAAATTGGCTGGTTTTCTTAGGTTTATAATTTATGTTCAACACTTGTGGTATTTTATGGTTGAAGTTAAGGTGTACTCTAATAATTTATCCTACTTGTTTTAAGAAAATTTTCTTAATAAACTATATGTCTATTAACTTATTTTTATATGAGAACAGGCTATTCATAGAGCAAGACAGTAAAAAGAAGGAATTTTTCCTCTAAGAATAAAATGAGTCAAGTAAAAATTTATTAAAATTTTATTAATTAAAATGTACAAAAAGGAAACTACTATAAGTTTAGGCAACATTCAAGTCAATTCATTAAATATGTAATTATTGAGGAATCATTACTCAAACTGACACAAAATAAATTGCTATTATAATATAGGTATGAATATTTGTAAATGTTTCAAATACTTTAAAAGGCTCATAGCTACATAATATAAGCTAAAAAGATGCTTCATAGTGTATCTTTTTTTGTGTGTGAAGAGAGATCTCTTTATGAATGCAGCGCCTTGGGAGGTCTGGCGATCTGGTCCTGGTGCAGACTTCTCACTAACCAGTCACAAGACCCGAGGCCAAGAACGTAGTTCTGGGAACCTGTTTCCTCATCAGCTAGGGTTATCCAAATATCTACTGTGCTCATTTCACGAGGCTTTTTGGGAACTAATGTGTATTTATCTGATGTAAAATATAAAACTGGTACAGTGAAAGCTCTCTCAGTCAACCCCCATTCACTCATTCCAGATGAACTGACACTGCCCATTCCCTCTGTAAAACATAAGACTGATACAGCAAGTGAAACAGGTTTTCTCCAGCTGGTTTTAACCCTTGCCCGTTTATGACACTTGTTCAAAAACATAATTGCTCTTTCTATAAAAATTAAATTGATAGCACTGGAAAACTCAATTAACAAATCTAGAAAGATTTGGTATGCAAATTGCTTCACTAATGTCTTTAAGTTCTCATTCTGCTTCACTGAAATGGAGACTGTATTCCGTAGGTAATGCAGTATAGGCACAGCTGACCAAGAAAGGCACTGGTTATCTCTGTGCCATTTCCATTTGAATGTACTGGGAAAAGGGAATGCTTCCTCCCTCCCCCAAGGTCACTGCTGGCTCCTCTCCACCTCCACACACACTACTGCAGAGGAGGTACAGGACCTTATCTGAAAGGTGAGTTCAGAGGGAGAAACAAGATATGGGAGCTCTCTCTTCCTTTTGGAAGCCAGCTGTCCCCTAGGGAGCACACATTCTCCTCTGCTCCTGTCCCTATTAATGCAGGTCCCTCACAATTACCTGCGACTCGGTAAGTCTGATGAATTCTGAGGTTCAGTGTTAAGTTCACTTGCCTGCAGATGTCAGCTGCATTCTCCAATTTACCTTCATTTATAATAGAGATGATATTTTGGTCTCCCAAATGCCTTTCTCTTCTATCTTATTTCTCACTAGAGTGCTGTTATTGGCTCTCTCACAGGCCCTAACATATACTGCATGAGACTAGAGTCTTGATAAATAGGCATGAAGTAAAATTTGGGGAGTAATATACATGTGGAATTTCTGAGACTTCTGTTGGGGCCAGGACTTAGGGCCTTGGTCTTTATTGAGGGGGCAAAGTGTTTTGACCTTGAAGAGGTTTACATTAGGCCACGAGTTTTTACAGTTGTACACTAGCTTTTAACTATTAAGGCCGAATTAGAAGCTTATAAACCACAGGCCACACCGTATTTTGACCTTAGTGGTGACTGTAGCTATGACAACTTTGTCTTCAGGTAGTGGCGGTTTCTATAGAGACAGGCTGCATTATCAGCACATAAGCCTTAGCAAAGGCTGGGGGGCTTTGCCAGTTTCAGTGAAGAAACAAGCCACACTCTGCCATGGTGGCAGTACTGAAGGCTCATCTAAATGTCAGCTGCACAAGTGGTCTCAGCATACACTGGCCACTCTGGCCTAGCAAGCAAATGCCAGCTGTGCTGGCCTCAGCAAAGAGAATAGGGTATTAGCAGGCTTGGGTGGTTTCAGAGCAGAAGGCTGCTGCCTGACCTTGAATTACGCAGGCACAGCTTTTCCTACGCAAGCATGGCTGAGGCAAAGATTAGACTTTAGGAAAAAAGGCTTTCTTCATACAGGCCTTTTAGATATTAGTGGTTAGAACAACTATTTGATGCATGTAAGCTGCAAGGTAGCCGAATTTGAAACAGCACATGAGCTATAAAACCAGTGAGCTTCTACGTTTAAATCGTTTGTGCAAGGCTTACATAGGCAATTCAAAGGGGAAATAGAAATTAAGAGGTTTCTCACAATACTTCATAGAGGGAAGGAAGGAAAGAAGAGAGGGAGGGAGGGAAGACTAGAGGTACGCAGGGAAGGAATGAACTTACAGAGGAAGAGAGGGAACTTGGTAGCTGGGGCTGCCACTGTAAGCCTCTAAATTTTGTAAAAAGGTGGTGATATTTCAAATAGTAATCCTTAAAAGAGAAGACAGTGTGCACTGGTTGTTGTTTTTATCCAGACATGGTAAAGGCATAGTTCCATACTTAACCTCTTGCTGGCAGATTGTTTCAAATTGGTGGCAGTGTCCAAGTCATAAATTCTGGACACTGGCATAGACTAACTGGGTATCTTGATGAGGCTCAAACCAAGAGGACCTCACCCATTCTTCCCTCCCTCCAGTACCAATGTGTCTCTGCTACAATCTTTAGCAAGGCTGAGTGATGCATTCACGGAACATAAATTTCACAGAAACACTGTTCTTGGGCTAGAGGTAGGCTTACTTTCTGAATTTGGTGGCTGTGGGCACAATGTTGAAATGATTTTCTTTAGCCCTGGAGTTCATAAAATTTATATACTATTCTGATTCATTTTAGAATCTTCTCGGGACAAAAATCTATTATTGGTCCCAAGAGAAGACCCGACAGAACAGTAGTTGGTAGTGGGGTGTTGTCCTTATAAAAGTGGGAGTAGGACGGTCCTGAGACCGCCTCTGCCCTAAAGGGATAGGCACACCCCAACTGACTGACATTTACTGTGTAAGAGACAAAAGCTGGTGCGTGTTAGAGGAGGAACCTTCTTCCTCACCCTTGATGCTCCCCTCCACGTAGGGCAGTAACAGTTTGTTTACTATTCCTGGTCTTATCATACCCGAGTCCTGCGGTAGGGGTGAAATGCCTGGTCTGATCAGTGAGCCCAGAAGAGGAAACTGTGCTTGGGGAGTCCAGCCCCTTCCCTTCCCTTTCCCTTGGGGGTACCTATTCTGCTCTGCTCCTTCCTTCCTTCTAGGTAGTGGGTCTATCCCAGACTAGTGCTGCTGAGAAAACCTGTTAAGTTCTGGAGTCCAGCATTAGAAAGCCAACTGGCCCTTAGAGATGAGCCAGTTCTCCAACGTCAACTTCTAGTAAACGTGAATTTTGTTTCCCACCTGGCCCTACCCCTTCATGCTCTCTTTCTATCAGTTCAGAATGCAAGCAAGCAGGAAATAGAATATCATTATTGGGTCCCCTTCAATTCCAATTTATATCTGAAACTTCTCCTCTTCAGAATTAAGTTCACTTTTCTGTGTCAGTCTTATCTTCCCAACTATCCCATTACCATAATATTGATAACAATTACTTCATAAGCTTTCCAGCACCATTTCTAGTTACTTCCAGTGCACACACTCCCCTCCAGTCAGGCACATCTCCCTTCCATTCTCTCCACACAACCGGCTAATTCCTACCTACGCAGCCCATGCCCCACTGGAAATCCCTTCCCTTCACCAATCCACATCTCCACCCTTCTAATACCCAGTCAATTTGTATTTCTAAAAATCTGTCCTGATTAACACCATATAACCTGCCTACTTACTACATGTCATGTCGATACCTCCTTTTATTTGTACTTCATTTAATTTGCTCTCATTCTTTTGTTATTTTGAAACTACCTTTAGTATTTTTAATGTTTCTTGATGACATTCTTGTTCGAAGGCATAGCTTATAATTATGTCTAAGGTTCTAGGTCAGTTTTACTGTCCCTTTGACAAAACGGAAGGAGAATCAGGCAATGCAGAAGTACACGGTTAAGCCAGGGGTTCCACCTGGGAAGTGACAGGAGGTCCAGTGTATCGGTGCTAACAGAGTGGTGAAAAAGTCAAGGCAAAGTCCACTTAAGTGAAATTAACTGGAGGGGTGAATAAGTGGTGGTAAAGCTGTCAAAAGTGACGTGACAACATATGCATTTCCTTCCTGCTTCAGCACATCATTTCACAGAGCTGTCATCAGTTTGCCATACACAGTAAGTGACAGATAGTTGTGACCTGGCACAGTGCTTCAGCACACACAGGACAGGACTCAACAAATGTTAGTGACCAAATATGAATAATGTCATACAGCATGTGTGCTGGGTCTCCTCTAAAAGTTGGTAAATATGTTAATGTTTTCAAAGCCCTCCAGGATCTAGCCCTCACCTGTCTCTCCGGCGTCACTGGCCAGGCCTGTTTGTTCCTTTTGTTCCAGCCATACTCAACTACTTATAGCTTCACAAATATGCCAGATTGTTTCAGGTTTCCATGTCTATGTTCATATTACTCTCTCTGCCCTTTCCTCCCAATACTCCTCATTAAGATGCAGCTTTTTAGAAAGTATTCCCTGACCCATCTCTAGGTAGAACTGATGATTTCTTCTTCAGTGTCCCCAGTAGATCTTATTTGAATCCTATTATAGGATCTGCAACTTATTGGATTTCTTTGCTTGCACAGATGCCTTCCCTATTACACTGTCAACCCTTTGCTACCAGACACTATATCTCACATAGGCACAGTTTACTTAAATTGTGTACCTGTATTTAATAAGTATTCAATAAATGTCTATGTAAGAATGACTGAATTAATCAACTAAAGTCCTTTTCACTTAACCTGCAATATATATCAATTCAATAAACATTTACTGGGTACCAACCACATGCTAGATGGTGCTGGGCTAATGTGGTGCGGTACAATAAGCACTGGTTTTGAAGGGGCAAAATCATTACTCTGAGACATTTACTAGCTGTGTAATCTTGGGCAAGTCACTTAACTTTCTAATCTTCATTATTTTCACCCATAAAACTGGTCAGGAGGAAGTGTTATAAGGATTAAATTAAATACTATATGTATAGCACTGAGCAAGGTGTCCAGGAACAGCCAATAGGCACTAAAAAAACAATTCCTTTCCAAAGTCTCAACGTGTTTATAGTCTAGTAAAGGAGACATAATACAAGTAAATAACTCTAATGTAAAATAATGAATGCTTTGTTACTGTGATAATAACAGGTGCTCCTAGAACACCAATGAAAAGGCACAATGGGAAAGATACAAGGGTAGGAGTGGATGCTGCACTCTCCTCCCCCTTCCAAACGCGAAGCAAAGAGCAAAGTCTCAACCAGGGCACAGAGCTGGGAAGACAAACCAAGTGCCTGGGAAACAGAAAAGGGTTAACAGATAGGGATGCAGTAAAAGAAGCAGTAATGCTGACTGCACTTAAGTTCTGAAGGGGGTTTGCAGGATGACATCTGCAGCAACTGGGAGCCATGAGAGCTGTTGCAGCAAAGGAGTGACATGAGTAAATCTGTCATTTAGAAAGCTGACTCTGGCAGTAATGTGGACTAGACTACAGCAGGGGCAGACTAGGGACAGAGGAACTAGGAACATGCTCACATAAAACTGTGGAATTGCTAAATCCTAACAACAAATTCCAGCTTTAAAAAACTATGAGGACCAAGTGTCAGTGTCGATTTAAACACAAGTGCTTTTCAACGGGACCTACCAAAGTAGAAATGCAAAGGGCTGATGTGACGGACACTTTAAACACCCTCTGTAAGAATTCAGAAAAGAAGCAATAAAGTCAAAATATACTTTTCTTCTTTTTAAGATGAAGACTCTCTCATTCATTACTAATACTGGGTGGGTATAAATTTTAAAAACTTACCTTTGACAGTATCCTGGGGCAACACACGCCCGTGAAGATGAATCTAGACTACATTCAGTGCAAAAACCAAAACCCTGAAAAGAGAGAAAAATCACAATGAGCCACACACTTGTAGTAAGATGCCGTGGCAAGTGGCAGAGAACAAATTCAGAATTCAGGCAGCCGAGTACCAATTCAGGCTCCTCCAGCTACCAGCTACTGATTCTTTGACTAACAGCCCAACCTCTCAAACCTCAGCTTCCTCCTTCAACACTGGGAACAATAACAGTATCTTCCTCAGAGGGTTCTTTGGAAGTTTAAATAAAATATGTATAGCCCTGGCTAGCAGGGCTCAGAGGCTGAGCTTCGACCTAGGATCCAGGAGATGGCGGTTCGATTTCCAGTCAGGGCACATGCCTGGGTTGTGGGCTTGATCCCCAGTGGGGACACGCAGGAGGCAGCTGATCAATGACTTTCTCATCGTTGATGTTTCTATCTCATTCTCTCCCTCTCCCTTCCTTTCTCTGAAATCAATAACAATATTTTAATAAAAAATAAAATATGTATAAAATACTTAGTACAGGGCAGCACCAACCACATGATCAATAAAGGCAAGTGGTTATTAAGAATGTGAACTGGAATATGCAATACTTGCTGAAGAAACATTAAAATCTATATTATACCTTTATTATTTATTTTACCTTATTTGCCCTATCAGAAAAATACCACATTACCTTTTTAACTTCTCCATTTGACATGAGAACATCTCATAATCACTTTAGATTTAATACTACATCCCAAACTGCCGTCTTCTTCCCCCACCCAGACCTCAGTCTCCATCTCCACTGTCTCAATCAAGGGTGCCATCCTCCACCCAGTTGCTGGTCAGAACCTCAGGTTCATCCTCGATTTCCCACTCAACCCCAGTCCTCTCACAGCCCATCAGCAAGTCCTGTCATTTCTGCTTTCACAATATATATCTCAGATCCACCCACAATCCTTCCCTTTCATTGCTATCATCATTTCTCACTTGTGAAGGCCTCTTCGCTGGCCTCCCAGAGACTATTCTTGTTCCTCCCTGATCCGTTCCCAAATAATGACTGGAATGGCCTCTTCAGAATCAAATCAGATCATACCAAGATGCTAATAAACGCAGTGAAATGTTTATTTCAAGACTGAATATCTCTTAATACATATTTATATATCTGTGAATATACAAATATATCAATAGTTATGAATAGACATTTAGAGACCCCAAGCCAGTCCCTTCATTTTACAGTGGCAAAAACAAATGTCAGAAGGATAATTCTGCTCAAGGTTGGACTGTGTGTATGTGAAGACGGGCGGAACAATGCCGGACAAGCCTAGCAGAAATGTATCTGTGATTAGCACCCACACTGTGTCAGAAAGCCTGTCACTGTTTGGAAGTTGGCCCCTTAGTTTCACAATCAATGTTTCTGTCCAAGAAAGTGCATTCCATTCCCCATGGCTACAGATTGTAAATTACAGCTTTAGTCCCACATTATGTCATAGTGTTTGAGGTGGTACTTTAGTGAAACTTGAAAACATATGCTGCTCCCTTATCTGTCATCACCTCTATGTTGGCTTATTTTTTCCAGTGTTTGAATAAATAAATCTCAGACAGAATTGTTTTGTAATGAGTATCAGTAATACTTTAATTATTATCCCTATCTTCCTACTATACACAATGCTGTCCCAGCAACCTTCTAAAAAGCAAATGTGACCTCTGAGTATATCACTGCCAGAATTCACTCAAGAGCTACCCATTACCTTTGGGGTAAAATTCAAGATCTCTCTTAGCTGCATCATCACTTCATGCTCTATTCACATGGATTGCACATGGTTTCCTTGCCCACATGATTTCCTTACACCAATGTCTTTGAGGACCCTTTGCCTAATTCCCTTCCACTACTCTTCTAAGATCTGCCTCAGGTGTTGTCTCTTGAAGTTTTCTGTACCCTCCCTGGCTGCACTAAGTGTTCCTCCTCTGAGGCAGGCCATATAATATTGGCAATATCCATGGGTGTGTTTCCTTCACTCAACAGGAGCTCCTTGACAGTAAAATCTGTCTTATACATCTTTGAATTTGGCATCGGGAAGGAGTTTAATAAACATAAGCTGAATTGAATCCTGACATGATCCCTATAACTCAGTACTCCAACACGGATGCCTCCCCACTAACTAGCAGTGGGGGAAGCAGCAGCAGCTAGCTGCAACTATCAAGATGGGTATGGCTCTCACGCAGAATGTGAACTATGTGGTTATGTGTGACCCTTAGCACCTCAGAGACAGACTGGATTCTTTAATTTTTTTTGTCAACCACAGACTATCAAGATAACAACCCTGACTAATTTTCAGTTCTCTATTCTGATTAGTTTCTGCCCAGGCTAAACAGTACTGCTTCTCTAGACTTATCTTCATAAAGTAGCTCATTATTACATATCTTGTTAACAGACAAGCTTAGGACACAGTGGCCAGCTTCGTCCTTTGCCTGCTTGGCAGCTGGTCCCAGACGCTGACGTTCAGTAAGAGAAAAGGGGAGAGGCAGGCAAGGGAAACTGGGCAGTGTTCCAAGGACTCTGGAAACCAGCTTCATTACTCTCTCGGCAGGGCTGTGAACCTCTGTATCAGATGTACTCACACTCAAGATAAACATAAAATTTAATTCTAAAATCAACATTTGAAATGATCTAGTTGAAGATACCTATAGCACTTTTTCCTTCTAAGGCCTGAGTAACGGCGAACGCCGTCAAACATCATTTTGAAACATTCAGAATTATTTACTGCCATCCTGCTACCTGGTCACACACAGCCGCAGCAGTCCACTATGTGAGCTGCTTGTTTCTCTCTTCTCCTGCAGAATAACCAGGTTGGTCTTGGACTTCACATAGGAATTGGGAAGGTTCAGTGGTTCTTGGGCTAAATCAACTCCCAGGACCTGCTAAACTGCAAGTAGATTTCCAGAATTCCTCCACAGCCAAGCACCTAACTAAACTTGCAGGATGTAATTAAAACTGAATCTTTCCTAAGGAACACAGTAAGTTAAAAAAATGCATATTCAATAAACTCTATTTACTAATATCACCTCCGATACGGTAAGGTTTAATTTTCAAACTTGGTTATTCAGCATAATTCTTTTAAATTTAATTTTAATTATTTCAAAAAATTCAAGCAATGTGGGTAAGACTGTCTTCTCTCACTCCACCCCAGTCTTCCCAAGATTCACCACTGTTTATCTGTTTGATATCCAGCATAATTCTTGGGATGCAGACTATTAAGAATATACTATAAACTTTTAACTGAGTCTCAAGTAACACTGAAAACCCTGACTGCCTATGTCATTGGCAACTGGCCTAACTTCAAGCACGACATCAGGAAAAGATGTCTTAGGTGAAGCAGCAGATGTGAGGGAGGTGCAAAACGCCAGCAAGGAGGTGGGGGAGGTCTCCCCAGGAGGCAAGCATGGACCAGGAGGGTACCACAAGTCCAGCTCTATAAGCAGCACACCCAGCCCACGTGGGCAAGAAGCCCATTTAATTAAGTAACAAATAATAATAACAAATGCCTAAGGAGCACTGCTCTAGGCAAATGGGTTTATTTAGCCACCAATACACAAATTCTTGTTCTTGTTCCAAGATCTCAGCAGTTTCAGGCCACTTCTACCTCAGTTCGACACTTTGGAAATTCTGTAAAAATGTCCAAGTCTGTCCATTCCTAAAAACAGCCCCGTTAATCATGTAACCTCCTTGAGCTTTTGTGTACTCCCTCCCCTCTTTTCTCTCCTAGTCAAGCTTTTTTAAAAAGAAGTTTTTATTTGTGGTCTCAATGTCCTTAGTTCTCATTCACTTATTAATCATTGCAATTTGATTTTTTTCCCTATCAGTCCCAGTTGGATATTAGGGATATTTACAATGGATATTATTCAATTGTTTTTGCTTTAACTTTGGCACTTAAAAATCAGAATGACCTGAAACTGTCATTTGGAAGCTCCTTTCCTATCTGGATATTAAGGATAATGCAGATCCAGCCATTGGGCCAGGGGCACCTTCTTTTAGTTGCCGGTTTCTTGGCTATGCCTGGGTCCTCCTGCCTCCCTGGGTTTGTAGCCAGCCCAAGACCTTTGTCGATACTGTTGATTTTCAGATTCCCACCATGGGCACGGTGGGGCTGGGTACAGGGTTGCTGCTTCTATACACAGGAGTTGGGGGGGACAGGGATTGTGGTGAGAGAACCAAACTTAACTCCTAGCTTCAAGGATTGAGCTTAGTTCTGCCAAACTGACATGGAACATGTTTAGTCCCTTTACCCTTCAGGAGGGACCAAATTCATCAGTTTTTCTACCTCTTATACCATTTCTTACCAGTTTCTTTTGCTGGACTGCCCTTCTCTGCCTGTCCTTTCATCGCTGCTATGTCCCTCGAGAGCTCGTCCTTCCCGGTCTCTATTCTCCAGGCATGTGCTTATCCTCTCCTGCAGACTTAACCACTTCCTGTACCTTGATGACTCCCAAATCTCTCCCGTGTTGACCTTTCTTACAATCTTCAAAGACCCCTATACAACTACCTCATATCAATGGATTTCTCCCCCTTATGTTCCACAGGTCCCTAAAACACAACGTAACTAAAACTAAAACAATCCTCCCCAAAACTGGGTCCTCCTTCTGCCACACTTGGAAATACTATCATCCCACTCAAAGAAAAAAACCTGGGGCCATCATTAGCATCTTCCTCTCACCAAACATAGATATTTCAGGATGGGCTTTTTCCCCTGTTCCTACTGCCTTAGTGTCTGACATAGTTTCTCACCATATTTACTCCAATTGTTTTTTTAATTGGTTTTCTTACCCTCAAGACCACAGGAGTTGGGGGGACAGGAATTGTGATGAGAGAACCAAACTGCCCACTTACCCACTGCCATTAGAATTACCTTTATAAAGTGCAAACCCACATTGCCTTTGCAATGTCTCTCATTCATCTTCAAGATAAAATCAATTCCCAATGCGTGATATTGTTACAAGGCATGGTACCTGTTCACCTCTCAGCTTCGTCTCACAAAACCACATTGCTTTAAACAC